ACCTTAGAGACTAACAAATTTATTTATTTATTATAATAAATTTGTTAGTCTCTAAGGTGCCACAAGTACTCCTGTTCTTCTTTTTTCTTGATAGTTTGACATGCAGTCACAGCCAATCCACGTCCCGTTAGCAGCTGGCACCCAGCGTGGAATAGAAGTCTGCCTGCGGCGCTTTCTCACTCATCAGTTTCTCAGTACCATGCGACTCACCATAACCAGCCATGTACCTCTGATGTAATAGCCTCCTGTGCCTCTAACAGGGGGATAATGGGGTGTTTAGAAATGGGAACCTAAGTCCTCATATGAACTTGTCACCATTAACAGGGACTGTAGTGTTACTGAGCTGTCAAAGGAGGATGCTGTCAGAGCCGCCAGTTAGAAGACATTTCTACTGGGAGAATCCAGTAATCTGCTGTTGAGGGGGATTTCCTGTGCCTGATATTAATGCATGGAATCCAAGACAACTGCATTAGCCAGAGGGAAGCCTCAGATTCCAGACAGATATTTGGCAGCTGTGAGGTTAGGAATATTGTCCTCAGTTGCCCTTCTGAAAAAACAGAGCAGGAGGGAAGCATGACCTGTTGTCCTAATAATATTGAGAGTGAACTAGTCCCAAACCGAAAGGAGACTGGTGGGAATAACCCATACCCAGCAGATTTCCAGCTGTCTTTATTGTACAAACCACTTGTTCAAAAAGGGGTTTCTAGGTCAGTATGACAAAGAATCTAAACTGGAGGATGGTATCAGCCTGCCTGCTATTTATTGCTAGTGAGGAGTGGCAAAAGTGCCAGAGATTCAGATGAACACTCAAAAACACAGGAGCCTCTTTGAATGTCACCCAAGCTACCCGCACCTGCTGGATTTGCAGGGTGTCTGGTGAATTTCTGCCTATTGAGCTGCAAATCCTAAATTCCTTCTCTAGATTTTACTCAGGTCTTGCTCAGGTGTTTTACCTATTGATTTCGGTGGGCCAAAGCCTAAGGGCCTTACTCAGCATTTACTCAGGCAAGCTTTATTGAAGGCAATGGGCACTTTGCCTGAGGACTGAGTGAGGACCCCAAGATTCCAGTCCCCAAGAAGGGGAGCAAAGGTGGCATTATGCATAAGCTATTGGGGCCATGCGGCTGGCCCAGGATCACTGGAGTACAAGGTTTTCCAGCCATGTCCCCTCTGCCCCAACACACACCTGGATGCTGGCTCTACTCCATCTGGGTGTCCTTTTATAGCACAAAGGCATGGAATGGGTTGGGGATCTGTCCCTTGGCTGTATTTTAACCCCTCCAGGTCCAGCAGGAAGTAAGACGCCCCTGGGACTCCTCTGATCATGAGCAATAATGCTTCAGGGTGGGAAGGACTGACAGTGTTTGAACTCAGTTAGAGGTTTTGGTTACACTGATTTGCCCAGCTTTGAGTTGCAGCCCATCTCTCCATTATGGCTGATCTGGTTCTTTGGCCTGAGGTTAATGGTTTGATGGGCCACCGTGGCCACTTCTCCCGAGAGCAGGCTCAGACTCCCAGTTCCATTTAGAAACACGGGTGAGTGACTGCCAGGGAGGAAACTCTTTTTAATCCCTGTCTTTAACTCTTTCCAAATGTTAAAGAGCCGATGGAGAGATTTACATTCCTTTCAGCCCAAATATTTTTATCTCCACATCTAGGGCCAAATTCAACCCTGGTGCAAGCAGGCACATCTCCAGAGAAAGCCGTGGTGTGCTACCCACTCACACCAGGTCTGACTTTGACCCATTTGCTCTGAATGGACAAAGTCCAGCTGTTAATGGCAACTGCAGAAAAAACACCCTGATTCTGACACATCTGGCACAGAGGAAAATGAGTTTAGGAATATGCCTGCTGGCCTGTTGCTAGTGGAGTGGCTGTCCTAGGAAAGCTGTTCTATCTGCATACTCCCCCATCATAACCCTGTGAGTCCCAGCCCTTACCTCGTCTCACTCTCACTGTTCATGCTCCTGCTTTTATTCTGGTCACAGCTCAGAATCTGTGGCATGGGTTTTTCATTTGCAGTGATTCTGGAGTCATCTGTTATCCAGCACATGACAACTAGGGTGAAGTGTCCTAATGAAAAAATGTCCAGGGATTTAATAAAAAAGAAGAAAATCTTTGGTTTTCCAGTAACAAGATGCCTTGATAGCACTATGATGGATACATTAGAAATACCTATTGACAAACTGGGTAATGTTCCTTCCTTCCAATGTTGTACTAAAGACTGTGCAACTGGTGCTGAAAAATTGTGCAACACTAGTAAAGTGCATCACTGATGAAGTGGGTTTTAACCCACGAAAGCTTATGCCCAAATAAATGTGTTAGTCTCTAAGGTGCCACAAGAACTCCTCGTTGTTTTTGCTGATACAGACTAACACGGCTACCCCTCTGAAACCTATTGATTATACTGTAATAATAACACTGAGCACCTTTCAAACAGTGAGAAATTACATTAAGCCTCACACCAACCCACCAGCAAGGTAGGCAGGTTAACACTAATATCCTCATTTTATAAACAGAGAGGCAAAGTGTCTTGCCCTCAAGCATAGGAGTAGCTGTTGAAATGCAGGCAGCATTCCACTGTTCCTTGCTGCCAGGCTTGTATGCCAGTCACTAGGCCACATCTAATTGCACATGTGATGTCTGGTGTCTCTATGCTCAGTGTCATAATTAAAATATTTTCGCACATTTGCCTGGTCTACACAAATATTTTCCCTAGTGGGTGACCCTATCCTACAGTGTAGATGGCAATTTAAATGAAGATTTTAGCAAATTACCCACAGTGCAGCAGGAAATATGTCACCATTCATTTAGGGTTTGGGGTCCGTACAGTCCATAAAGTCTGAACTATCCTTGTTCTGCATCAAAGATTCTGCTGAAGGGAGTGAGATATTTGGGTCCACAGGGAAGATGAGATCAGGCTCTTAGTCTCGTGTGAGTGGATGTTCCCTGTTCTCTGATTAGTGAGAGGTGGGCAGGTGCAGCAGTGAAATCAAAGGATGCTCATACAGGGGACATCACTGGCAGTTCTTTCCTTCCCAGCAGGTCACAGCGACACCGGGGAAGTATCAATTCGACTGACGCCTGGAGAGAGGCAAGCGGGTGATGGCACATCCCTTCCAGAGACTCCCAACCCCAAAATGGTTTGAACCTTGGCTATCTATGTGTGCAGCTGTTTGGGTGGGTTTTCTGTGAGGAAAGTGGTGGCTGGGAGAGAAGAGCTTTCCTGGGCAGCTCTTGCTCGATGACTATGTAACATTTTGACTTCACAGGGCAGCAGAACAGTTTGACTTGATTTTATGTTCACATCAGAAGGCAGATAAACAAGGGAAGGGTGCTAAGGGTGCTGCATGCACATTTATCACCTGGGCATCTGCTTCCCATGCCAGAAACAATCCCTTCAGCACCTCATCAGAGCGGCTCTCTAAACATATTACCCTGGCAGTCAGTTGCTTTAACAGTACTGGCATCTTTCAAAGCCTTGGTACAACCTAATCAGAGAGAGTGAACGGTGTGAGATTCAGAAAAAAGGGAACCATCTTCCCTTAGTGTCAAATGCTCCTTAAAAAAGGGCGATTTTTTAATGCAATCAGTAATAGAGAGCAGTTGGGATCAGGGATGGGACACAGAGCCTTCCTCTTTTACATCACTGGTTTTCAGACATTTCCAGAGTTGGACATTTATGGTTGTTTTTTTCTTTTTGCTTTCAGATGTCAGCTGTCTATGCAGAGTTAGAAAATCGCCTGATCAGCAGCTTTGCAGGAAAGATGGCTAATGCCCCCCCACACAGAGATTCACCTCCTGTCCCAGACCAGGCAAACGCTGCAGGTAGAGGCTTTCCTTCTCCTGGTTTTGGGATAGAGGCAGTTCATTTGCTCTAGCTGGTATGATGACCTGCAACATGCGGGTTTGGTGCTAGTTATGCAGTCCCAGGATTACGTTACATTTCTCTTTGCACCCGGGATCGAGTCATTTGAGGTCTCATGACAAATTACTGCTCCATTAGGGTGAAATCAACACAGGTTTATTGCAGGCAGTCATCCCCTTTGGAGGAGAAGGGTCTGTTGGCTCCCCTGGTAATACTCTGACCTTAAGCAGAGCTTGGGCAGGGCAAGAAGCACAATCTCCCAGGTCCAAAAGAAAAACACATTAGTTGTGTGAAGTGTAACAGTTCCTACCTACCCCCAGGGAGACTCTCTCCAGAGACGGGTAGATCCTGGCCCCAGCCACACCTTCCTTCAGGTAGTCTCTAAATATCCCCTGGCCCCGCCCACTCCTTCTTTCAAGGAGCTAGCGCAAGACGTCCCCTCTCTCTGCTGGTCAGCCACTACTGAGCTGGGCTTTCCCCCTTTTAACCCTTCCTCCAGGCTTGACAGCTCTCACAGGTGCATTGGGGCAGGGTTGATGGAACCCAGAGGCTCTAATTAACCCCTTCTTGGTCAGTGTTGGGTGTGTGCACCGCATCACAGCAACTTTTTATACTAAGGAAGGCAACAGTGCAGCCTCTGAGTCTAAGGGGGCCCACAGAGTTCTAGAATGTGACCTTTCTCTTCAGTGGGGAGGAGTGGGGAGTTGCCATGCTCTGGTTTGATCTCAGAAGCTTCTGCTCAGATCAGGATAGATCACTGCATGCTGGCAACCATCATCTCTCCAGGTTGCACCTTTATTTCAAGGTTGCTGTATTGTACACAGACGTTGGAGCGCCAAACAGTTTGCTCTAGTGACCCATGGCTGGGTGAAGGCTAGGCATCCGTGTTAGACCACAGGAAATGTTCATAGCCCTGCTTTCAAATGAGATGTAGGCTTGGAGGAGTCTAGTCTGCAGCACTGTTTGTTTCCTGCAGGTGTTCGGAAGTCGGGGATGACGATCTCCTGGCAGAGTGATCCTTTGCCCTCCCAGCAGTGCTATTACCACCCACACAGCAGCATCCCCTCCCCCAGCAGCACAGAGTCCAACCCCTACGTCAGCCTAGACAGCAGCCCTGCCCCTTCTCCCAAGCACATGGACTACGCGCTCAGCCCCCTGTCTCGACGGAAGAAGCTCTTCACCTTCTCCAGGCCTCCACGCAGCCGGGACACAGATCGCTTCCTGGACGCCTTGAGTGAGCAGCTGGGACACAGGGTCACCATCGTGGATGACTTCCTCACACCCGAGAATGACTACGAGGAGGTGAGTAAGGGGACCTGGACAGGGCTGCGCTCAGGGGTTGGGTTCCCTGTTGGGACGATCGGTGAGGTACAGTCGCATCACACCCAGAGAGCAGGAGGGAGCAGCTTGGTGGCTCTATCTCGGGGAGGCTCCTGCAGAAGTAGTTGGATGGGGACTATGAAGGAGAGTTCTGGGCTGTACAGCAAAGCACTGCAATCCTGGGGTAGGGAGCTCTCCCAGGGCCTGATTGCACTGTGGAGTTAACTTACATTACTGTTCTCCAGTCCACCTAGCTCGAGTGAGAGCAGCCACACACAGGTGCTGCACTCCTCCTGTGAGGGCTCAGTCCATGGTTCTTTGCACTGCAGGAAGCTGTGAATTCTTCCCCAGTGAATTGTGTCCTAGGTGCTAGCCTGCGTCCACACTACAGAGTGGTCATGTTAACAGCTGACGAGTTGTGCTAACTCGAGCTTTAGCTTGTACCTTGATGGGCCGTTGTGCCCAGTGGCTGGGGGTAGAAGCTTTTCTCATGGTGTAGTTACATTCTCTTTTTCCCAAATCAGATGAGTTTCCATGACGACCAGGGCAGCTATGTCACCAATGACATGAGCAGTGCCAGCGAGTACATCAGCAGCAGCGATGAAGGGAGCTCTCTGACCTACTCCACCCTATCTGATCACATCCCCCTCCCCCTCTCAGTCCACCCCCGCCCCCGCCGCAGTTCCATGACTCCAGACCAGTCACTCTGAGCTCAGAGGCCACAAGAAATATCTCCTCCCCACTCTCCAAAACCCTAGGGAGTCACTTACACCCAGTTCCTCCCCCTCCCCCTCCCCCGCCTCCCCCACCAGTGCCATGTGCACCCCCCCTGCTGCAGCGGGGCCTCGTACATCGCAGGAGCGAGTCCAGCCACATGAGTGTCAAACGGCTGCGCTGGGAGCAAGTGGAGAACTCGGAAGGCACCATCTGGGGGCAGGTACCGTATGGAACCCAGCAACTGGAATGACAGCACTCAGGCTCAGGGCAGGATGACATTGGGTCCAGTACTGAAGTCTACATCAGGAAAGTAACAATCCAAGTAATCAAATCTCCGGCTCCAAGGCCTACATTATAGGGGTCGGGAAAGAAGATTTCCCCATGTGCAGCAGCATTTCCAGTTGGCCAGGTGCATTCTGTGGGGGTGTTCTTCCCTCCCCCTGGAATATCAGGGGTTGGCCACTCCTTAGGCAAGAAACTGAAACAGGTGGACTCACTTATCTATCCCAAGGTGGCAGTTCTTATGGTGCCTCTCACTTAATTTCATCCTTGCTTTGTTTGGATCAGAACCCAAAGGACCACATAAGGGTCAACTGTGATTAGTACTGGAAAACATATCCAGTAAGATCTGCCCCAGCCGCGCTCTGCGGAATATTCCTTTATATCCATGTGGCTTGGTCAGTGTGAGCAGGGGTTTCATCAATCACCAGCCATAGGAAATTGCAGTTTTATCAACAGGGGTGTGCTAAAAATTGTGAGCATGCTGGAAAGCAGAAGAATGGCACCCAGGTATCACAGGGATGGGTGCATTATAACTGGAGAGATGGAGAAGAGGCTAGAACCAGAAGTGATGTTTATTAGACAGTATTATTGACCTGTGCCAGGCAGGCTGTGATTCGCCCTCTGGTGGTGACACAGAACTCAGCTGCTTATCTCAGCTAAAATGATAGGATTTGACTTGATTGAGGTGAATTTTAGTTGTTTTGAATTGATTTGGAAAAAGCTGAGTCCAGTGAGACTTAAATTTCAAGCCATGTACTTTCTTCCCTAAACAGTGTTAGAAAACGTAGAAATTAACAACTGGGCAGTCTCTCATGCGGATCCCTATTCCCCAAGTGATTTTATTCAATGAATTAACTTGGAGTACTCGGCCTGTACATTTGTTTCTCACTCCCCTTTTGGGGGGGCTGGGAATGAAGTATTTCTGCTTAGTGATTTTTTTGGATGCAAAAGGCACTTGAGGTTTCTGTAATTCCCATCGTATGCATTAGTGAAATAATATCTGCCCAAGAAACATGCTGAAGAGTTACTGTTTTTAATTTAAATGTCATACAATCTTCTAAGTTAACTCCAATGGGACTGTCTGCAAGCAGCAATGCTGGAGGATTGAATCACCAGGTTCCTTTCTTTCTTCTGAACAGAGAATGATCCCATGGGATGTAGTCAGACTCTGATATAAAAAATACCTCCGTTCCAGGACATTTTAAGAGAGAAATTCATGACCACATAGACTCCAGTATCTGCAGTGGCTTTGTAGTGGGCAAACCCCAGTTATAAGGAAAATGTCACAAAAATGCACCTGCCTCTAGGTATTCTGGGGCTGCATAGTTTAGGGCTTTTGGGGTGGGAATGCAGCGCAGAATGGGGATGTGCAGCATGGAGATCTCCTGGGACAGGGTCTTACTGACTATATTCCTCCTCCTGCAGCTTGGAGAAGACTCAGATTATGACAAACTGAGTGATATGGTCAAATACCTCGACCTGGAGCTTCATTTTGGAACTCATAAACCTGCAAGTAAGTAAACCACTTATGAACAGCCATACTGCCACTAGAACCCAGAGCTGACACAGAACAGATAGTTCTTTCACCATAAAGTGTTCCCTAAGTAATCAATGAGATAATGCCTATTTCCAGGGACACTGTCATCACAGAAGTCATATATAGTGGTCTACCAATAATTCTTCCACACGATACTAAATAACATCTCAGATTATTAAAGTGGAGATTATTTTAAAATCTCCCTTAATTTTCTCCAGTGATGCTGTTTGTTTATTGTCTGCATTTCAGTCAAATGGGGCTGTGAAACTCAGCTGGACAGTTTCACTTTATATGTTCAGTTTCACTTACTGGTTCTCATGCAGCTGTATCTCGGCTCCCCGCCCTAACAGCACTGAATGGGCTAGAAAGAACTCCAGGTGGAGCTCTAAGCATGAGCTCAGGAGTCCTGGTCTGCCTTCCTAGCAGAACAACCTTTAATGAATGAAAATCAGTTCCATAGCTGAAAAAGAGTGTGGGGGAGGAGGGGGATAAGGTCAGGTCTGTCTCTTGTGGGGCATGGGGATGTGATAACCTGTCTGTCTCCTGGGGGAAGGTGGATGGGTAACTTCCGATTGCTCTCCTGGGTGTGGGAGGAAGGTATGACTAACCATTAGAAAGGCAGTCTATGACTCACTTGAATTGAGAAGAATAAAATCGGAGTGGGATTTCTGTGCTTAGGTAATAAATCTGATATGGGAACATAGTGGTTTTGGAGGGTCATTCAAGGGTGCTAGTCTGCGAGGCTTTTTGGCAGGGTGAGGTGGTACTAACTCACCCAGTTAAGTTTCTGGCGCAATCTGGGATTTTTCTGTGTCTCTCACCTCTTGTTTTACCTTTTTCAGCTCAGCGTGAGTCTTCCATTCAGGAGATCTTTGAATTACAGAATTCAAGGATTCCCGGAGCCATTCCTGTGCCCAAAGCATCATGTCTCCTCACTCTCATTCATTATCTCACTGTTTTCAGCCCAGTTTCCTCGGTGCTGGAGTCAACTGAGCCCGTCCTTACATCTGATTAAATCTTTCAGTTTCTCTTCCAGAGCCAACTCTGTTGCCTGAATCCTTTAAAAAGAAAGACGTGGTTGAAATTTTGTCTCACAAAAAGGCCTACAACACATGTAAGTAAAATGTCAGAGTGGAAGCAAAACCCTAAACAGGTCCTGAGATGGAACGGCAGTACCTGGCAGTATAGAGAACTGGAAAGGTAAAAAGAGAGCAAAGATAAATAGGTACATCCCAGCTTGGCTGGGTGCAGTGGTCAGTACAGGACAATAGAGACCACTGCAATACAGTGTCCTTTGTAGGCCAGCAGAGACAGTCAGCCTTAAGCTAACGAGAGGAAGGCTTGAAGGAGAACTATAAAGATGGGCTGTGACTCACTGGCGTGGAGTGGGGTGGATAGCGCTCCAGATAATGGGGCAGCCCCAGGAATGAGGCTTTTCTCCCTGCATTGTGGAGAGTGGCAGGCAGGGAGGAGGTGCAAAGCAGAGGACGCTGCCGAACATGACCAGAAGCACCTGAGGGCAGCACACTCAGCTGATCTTTACAACTGCTCCAGTATGGATCGGTGTGCATTGCCCCAGAGCCTGCCTCTGGATGAGGCCCCAGCAGGCACATAGATGGGGGAGGGGGGAGGGCTGGACTGTGACCCCAGACAACTTGGCCACTCCCCCTTGAATCCAAGGAATGCAAGTGGACACTTAGCTTGGCCCTGCTGCCTAGCATTCAGTAGAGTGACAGGTCACCATTCTGCCGGGCTCCTGCATGGGAATGCTGTGAGGTGTCCTCCATCCCCTGTGCACTGCATAGGACAAGGCAGAATGTTACCATTAGGTATCTGACTTTATCATGCACCTGAATCCCATTAATCCTAGGGGAGCCCCATGGGGAGACTAGACCCTGACATGCATGAAGGCTTCTGCTCTGTCACCAGGCTAATCCCTTGCATTGCTTCCACTTGGATATTTGTAAATGAGCACTTTGGATAAAGGGGGCGGGAACGGGAATGGAGTCTCCTATCTCTGGATCACATCTTCCGATCCAGCCCAGCTGGGTAGTGACTGAAAGTTCTCACCATCTGATGGTTGTTTAGTGGCTCGGGTGAGAAGATAGAACTGTCCCGGCCCAGTTCCTGTTGGGCAGGTGTCCACATCACAAAAAACAGCTCCTCAGGTGGCCCTCTTGCCAACACTCTCAGCAGAGAGGCCAAGAGACTGCCCTCCTGCCCCTATGGAGCTTCCCTTCGGGGTGTCCACCCTGACACTACTATTCACATAGAATGTAACCAGCCTTTGGAGTCTGCTTCCTCCCTTTGCCCCAGCTGATGCCCTTCCTCCTCCTCCCCAGCCATCCTGATAGCCCACCTCAAGCTCTCGCACATCGAGCTGCGCCAAATTCTCATGACAATGGAGAGCGACCGCCTGGAGTCCTCTCACATCAAGCAGCTCCTGCTGTACGCGCCTGACGCAGAGGAGGTCCAGCAGTACCAGAACTACCAGGACAATCCCAGCAAGCTGAGTGAGCCAGACCAGTTTGTCCTGCAGGTAGCTGCCATGTGGTTGGGCATGGGGAAGGCATGGGCGCTGCAGTGTCACTGGGATGGTCCTGCTGGAAATCCAGCCAGTTCAGCCAGCTGTAGGAGAATAATTGCACGTTGTTTCATAGACTAACCTGCATCAAATCAAACAGCTACAGGTGTTATAAAACTGTGTAGCACCAAGAGTGTGCTGGGCCCTTTACTCTCACGGGTCTCAGCCCTGTAGAGCCTACAGCCTAAACCCACATTATGCAGACCCAGGGAGGGAGGTGAAGCACCTGGGAATCCCCGTGGTTGAGCAGGGAGGATTAGCTCACATCTTGGCACCTCTGAGATTATTAACTGGACTTGGTTTTAATTGTAGTTTTTCTCTGGTCTAATTTGCCAGTGTTTTTTTTTGAGACAAGACTCAGGGCTCATAGGATTCTTGGCAGGAGGGTGTTTAAAAAAACTGGTTTAATGACGGGAGGGTGGAAGTGAGTCAGGGAGGAAGTTCCAGAATCCAGGGTTGCATTTCCTCTTAATGGTTAGTAGGTTTCGTAGAGCTGGCTCCTTTTTTAAGGAAATAATGCAATGTTCTGAGCGGCTTTCATGCTTACAGCCCAGGAACACCATGCCGAGAGGAAAGGATTTTCAGAATTCTGTGATCTGCTTGTTAGTATTGGATGCACAGCACTATTGGGGTGGGGGGCAGGTGTGTGTTCAGTGGAATAGCCAGATCTGCTCTTGAGTTTTGGTTTCGCTGATGACATATAAGTATGTGGCCAGGCATTGTGAACTGCCCTGCATTCAGGTACCAAAGTAAAGCGTTTTGACCTCAGGCTCTGCCACTTGGGTCTCCCGAATCTCCCTTGCCATGTAAATAGATGGGAATTGTGACAAATTAGTGCTACCAAACAATTGAGCTTGAGCTTTGATTGTGCAATTTTGCCCAGCTGTGAGTTTCTTCCTAGTGATAGACTCTCTTGTGGATACTGGCATTGAACCCAGTCTGTGGTAGTGAGTTGAAAGCTATTGCTGATTAAAAACATCAGCAGCTACCCACAGTTGCCACCCAGTGATACCTGAGAGAGGGCAGGCAAGCACTGTTTCACAGTAGAGGGAAATTCTGCATTAAGGGGAACACTGCATGTTAAGTGGGAGGGAAGGGAGTTAATCAACGGTGATCCCAGTAATTTGTTGCTCCTTTTTTTCTCAGATGTTATCAGTACCAGAATATAAAACCCGGCTACGCAGCCTTTACTGCAAGACCACCCTGCAGGAGAAGGCAGAGGAGATCAGAGCCAGCTATGAGTGTATCTGCAAGGCTTCCCTGGAGCTGAAAAGCAGCAAGAAACTGGCTAAGATCTTAGAGGTCAGAGAACAAACCTCATTGCCAGTAATAGCCATTGGGGGGCATCCAGCGTCCGCCACCCAGCGAAGCACGCACAGTCTGTACCAGCTTGTTGAGGGCTCCCTCCAGCCCATCAGCATCCTTGGATCGGTGCTGGGGTTGCTTTACCTGCTGGGGCATCACAAGACAGGTGGAAATTGTACTCTCTCTAAGGCCTTCCACTTGCCACAGTAGGTGAGGCAGTGTCTGTAGCTACTGAGCTGTCCAGAAGTTCCTTCAAGGTAGGGCCACCCTCATGTTTTTTAAGGCCCAGAGGGGAGAGCTGCCGGCGGGTTGTTTCCTTCTCCCCTGGTTTCACTGCTGAGGAGATAGGTCTGACCCCTGAGTGGCAGAGCTTGCACGGACCATGAAAGAGCAAAGCCCCAAGCAGCAGCAGGCTTCATTTTGCTAGTGTGTAATGCTGGCCCTTCTAAAAGGAGAAATGCAGAGGAGTTATGGGGAGCAGGTCGATTTCGTTTTAAGCTTCATTGAACTCCTGCAGTTATTTCTTTTCACTCTTTTTCTCCATTCTGTGCCCTGGAGATGGGAGGCCACATATTGCATCCATGTGTTGGGCCTCCTGGTTCTACAGCAGCATTTTGGGCTTCAGAGGATCCCATTGCCGCCCTCCTCTGGAATGCATGTACGGTGTAAGGGTGGGGAGAGAGTTAGTGCACACGCTGATCCAATCCAGGCTATTGGTTTATTCCATCAAGGACCAACCCTGGGCTCCGGTAGAATTGACAACTGGCTGCATGTTAACTCAGCAGCAGAATGGTTGGCTGTATGTGGGCTTACAGAGCCTAAGAGATTCTCCTTTAGCTCAAGTGGCCTCTGGAGCAGGAGGATGTGGGCTCTAACCTAGCAGCGGCTATGAACATCTGAGGGGCCGTGGTGTGCAGCACAGTGACAAATGCGAAGTGCTAGCTAGCCAAAGATTTTTTGCCAGATGGAAAAAATCCTTCTTCCCTTGCTGTGTAGCTTGGCCCTGGACTGCACCAGCCTGCCCCTGCCTTCCTGACCGATCCACTGGGCGGGGGGCTTGTAGATTTGCCTCTTGCTATCAGCTTCATGCTTTAGAAGAAACTGGTAAAACAAACAGAACACGATGTGACAAAGGACATTTCCAAATGAATGTTTAATCCTCGTAATGACCTTTTCGCAGCAACCCAAATCACACCTAGTTAGCCGTCTGGAGCCAGTAGCTGGCTACCGATTAACTAGATATGAGAAATTCACACAGCTCCAGCGGTGGGCTCTAGCACTCATGACAAGGGGACAGGGCTGGCTCCAGGGTTTTTGCTGCCCCAAGCGGCACAAATAAATAAATAAATAAATAAAAAAGCCACGATCGCGATCTGCGGCGGCAATTCAGCGGAAGGTCCTTCGCTCCGAGCAGGAGTGAGGGACCGTCCACTGAATTGCCGCCGAATAGCTGGACGTGCCGCCCCTCTCCGGAGTGGCCGCCCCAAGCACCTGCTTGCCTGGCTGGTGCCTGGAGCTGGCCCTGCAAGGGGATCCCCCACTTTCCTTTAGCTCCTCTGTCTTCTTGTCATGACAGGTCTTGAATCATCTTCCAGTGACTGTGAGGGGCCTTTTCTAATGAAAGGCACTGAGAGCACTTTATTGAAGGCTCAGCCCTGGGGGTCCTAGCCTATTTCCAAAACTGCCCAGCCCCATGTGAAGGGTCAGAGGGACAGAAAGGAGGGAAAGCCTGGCTCTGGTGAAAGGGTTACATGTCAAGAATTCACTCCTCAAAGATCTCCATGGGTAAGCAAAGAGAGGCGTCCAAGCCCTTTGGCCTTCTGCGGCAAAGAGCATGGGCATTGGATCAAGAGGAGAGTTCCCTATACAACAGGCTTACAGATCCCAGGGCAGGGCCTACATACTCAAAACATAAGCGCACTGATCCTGAAAGGGAGACTGCTGCAGAAGATAAAGGAGACTCTGTTTACTACCTCGAGTTGCAAGCCAAAGTCAATCTGTCACGCACACATGCCTGCACAGAGGTAGGGGTCAAATACATCCTTAACTATCACGCAAGAAGCTGCCTCCTGGCCAGTGAGATGCAATGGATCAGGGCATTAGTTCCCATTTGAACTTCAGGCGGGATTGCAGATCCTGCAGGACAGTCCTCTGTCTGTAACTCCCACAGAGCTCTCTGGCTGCGCAAGCCCCCTCCAAGTCAGTAACCAAACGTGCAAATAATAGACCCTCAAATGGCTTTGAAAGTCTCCTGAGTTCCTGTACATTCACATGGGAACTGCATTCCCTGTCTTGGTCTCTAGACCAACAGACTGGAACACCTGCTGGGAACTCCAGTGGCAGCTTTTGCTGAGAGAGAGACTATTTGCTCTTACAGACCCACTAAAGCAGTGATGGGTATTCCCACAAACTGCATGGAGAACTCATTTTTAATAAATACGATAGCATGTGCTTGAAGCAGCCACTGTAGTTAATGGTATGTTCCAGTTTCCATTCTACCTCCCCACCTTCCTCCCTTCCCAGTTACTCAGAACTTTCTCTCCCTATTGCTTTTTAGGCTAACATTTTCCATGCTTTGTCTCAGCCCACAGCTGACACGGCCTCAGAATTAGTTCAGCTGAGTTATGGATGTGGGGGTGAAATGACCCTTTTGCCATATGTCCTGATTCATAGAATCAGAGAAATATCTGGCTGGAAGGGACCTTGAGAGATCATCTAGTCCATTCCTCCTGCGCTGAGGCAGGACTAAACCATCCCTGACAGGTATTTGTCTAGCCTGTTCTTAAAACCTCCAATGACAGGGATTCCACGACCTCCTGAGGCACCCTGTTCTAGTGCTTAACTATCCTTAGGGTTAGACATTTTTTCCTAATATCCAGCCTGACATGGAGAACAATTGATCACCATCCTCTGTATAATCATCTTTTAGATATCTGGAGACCGTTTGATTGAAATGATTGCACAGTCGTTACTCAGAGGTAGCTAATGCTGGAGATGGCCAACGTGGTATGTTTTGTAGCCCTCATTAGGGAAGGAAAAGAAGTGGGGTTGGAAGAGTTTCCAGAGCTGATTGAGAACATTGGTGGTGCTGAGTCTGCGGTGTAGTGCATCTTATACTTGTCTTTGAAAGGAGCAGCACACATTCCTCCCAGCACCTCCTGCCACCCCCAGCTTACTGACCACATCCCCGTGGGGCTGGGATGCTGCTGGCCTGTTGGTAGCCCCGGGGCCTAGAGCTCAAGGGAGGGCTCTGCTTGGACTGTGCCGGGCTCCTGTGCAGGTTAGCCAGGGTGAAGAAGAGACTGACTGTGCATTCACCAAAGAGCAGGCAGAATTTTGCCCTTAACATTTATTCGTCCGTCTAATGCCTTGTAACGAATCAATGCAGTTTCCCTTCATAACTTTCCAAGCGTGCACCGAAATAGGCTTGTTTTCTCAGCTTCTCCCACAGGGGTGCTCTCTATCCGTGATCCAGGTGCTGCCCCCAAACTAGCATCCCTGCTGGGTTCCTGATGAGTCCGCTCCAGCCCAGCATTAGGCACAGAGGGAGGGAGGGCGAGTAGCAGGGCAGGGTTCGGTGACTGATCGCTCATGGGAGGTTCTCTTTGCAGTTTGTGCTGGCAATGGGGAACTATTTGAACAACGGGCAGCCCAAGACCAATAAAACGACAGGCTTTAAAATCAACTTCCTCACCGAGGTAAGGCGAATGGGAACAGTCCTCATTGCACATGCTGTTCTCATGCTGATGAATGCTGAGAGCTCAGGGAGGGACCAGGGTACGGGATGTATTTCCAAAGACAGCTTTTGAGTGCAGTGGCCATTTCAGGGCCCCTTGAAGGGAGCAGGTCAGTGGCAGGGTGGGGATACCAAGGCAGGGGTTATAAAGCAGGGCTGGGTCAGTAGTGACACAGTGCACTTCCCTGTGCGGGTCTCAGACTCACACTCGGTTCCTAGGTTGGCAGGAGCTAATAATGGTGCTGTGGTGGCACCATGGACGTCTCCTGGGAGAAGGCCTGCTACTCTGTATAGGTTCTTACACTGCAACCTTCACTGTAGTATCTGAGTGTCTGTCTGTGCCCTCATGCAGCTCAGGTGTGCTGGTGACATAGGGGGCATAAAGAGAGAATGCTTCAGGGGCAGAGGTAGACTCACAGGGTCCCCAGCCTAAGTTCCCTGCAAGCTGAGCAGCATCCTATTTAGCACCATGCAGGTGTTCAGGGAACCTGCCCGGGGACCTGCCAGGGGAGGAGTGCCCCTCCCCTGGCCCGAACCTGCCGCGGCCTGGACCTGCTGGGGCCAGGGGAGGGGGCACCTATCCTGCAGTCCCAGCCTCAGAGCTGCTGCAGCAGGGAGAGGCGCCTCTCCCCGCCATAGCCCCGGAGCACCCTCCTGCATCCCAAACCCCTGGTGCCTGGCCCCACTCCAGAGCCCGCACCCCCAGTCGGAGCCCTCCTCCCCAACCCTGCACCCCAAGCCTCTGCCCCAGCCCTGAGTCCCTCATCCCTGGCCCCACCCCAGAGCCCGCACCCCCAGGCAGAGCCCTCACACCGCTGCACCCCAACCCTCTGTCCCAGCCCTGAGCCTCCTCCCACATTCTGAACCCCTCAGCCCTACCCACACCACATGACTTTTGTTATGTGCACCTATATGAAGGTGACGTGTCACACATCACCTCCATATTGGACTCCAAATTCAATCTGCACATGGGTGGGAAAAATTAGAGGGAACATTGCTCCCAACGTGGAGAAACTTTTCATTTAGTTTCTCCATTTCACTAATCTGGATTTAACATACTGTGTAAACATTAAACACCACTTTTAAACATTAATCCGTAACGTGCCGCTGCTGCTGGTGGGAGCTCCTGTGAACGTGAGTGTAGAGTGATCCCAGCAGGGGCGCGTGAATGTTTCTGGCAGTATTTTGGAAACTGCACATGTAGGCTGAATGGTCAGTGAAAAACCCACCCTCCAGTATAGGAATCTCCTTACCTGTTTTGCTTTGTTCTAGCTGAACACAACCAAGACCGTTGATGGGAAATCCACTTTCCTGCACATTCTTGCCAAATCGCTTAGCCAACATTTCCCAGAACTTCTGGGTTTTGCCAAGGACCTTCCTACAGTGCCGCTCGCTGCCAAAGGTAAATAAACAAGGAGCATCCTCAGAGAAACCTGTTCTGGTACAGGGCCAATGAAGGACTCCCCTGCCCCTTGCCTCTCTGCGCCCCCCTCTTGGTTCCATGCCACCATTAGGCATAGCATATGAACTGCAGTAGTTTGACACAAATAGAGACAGGGGAAGTAGCCTGGATAAATAAGAACTGGCGATGGGCTGGAGCCATAAAGCACGGAGGTATCTGAATCTGGGGTTTTAGTTAGGTTCCTTTTAGAGATGGGTCCATTCTTGAGGCTTGAAAACATTTGGTTCCCATTTTAATACTAGTTACTCCTTATGCTGCGCTTCGGCCTGTCCACGTCCTGGTGAGCAGTGGAGGAGAAATACCATAATACCCTAAGGAAGGTTCTGCCCCTGGTGTTTCTGGCCCCGTGGAAGTATTGGAGATCTCAGAAGGGAGCCTGCTCTTGTGAGATTTCCAGCCCAGCATAGCAGCCTCAGGAGGCTCTGAGTTCAGATGCCTTGGGGGAAGTGTTCCAACTCTAGGGGGTGTATTTGAACTCAGCCCAGACTCTGCCCACCGGGCAATGCAGCAATCGCTAGACCCCAAAGGAGACGTTCCATACAGTGGTAGTTGTGATTGACCTTGCATCTTCTTTGGTTTTGCTGGTTTTAAGCCAGATCCTTTAGTGCTGACCTGGCCTAATGTACTTCATGGTAAAACCAAAGTGCCTTGGACAGGTTCTTAAATTAATGGAGATATCCTATCTCCTAGAACTGGAAGGGACCTTGAAAGGTCATCAAGTCCAGCCCCCTGCCTTCACTAGCAGGACCAAATACTGATTTTGCCCCAGATCCCTAGGTGGCCCCCTCAAGGACTGAACTCTCAACCCTGGGTTTAGCAGGCCAATGCTCAAGCCACTGAGCTATCCCCCCTGAAACAGGCCACCCCTGCACAGAGAGGGATGAAAGGGCAGGATTGTTCATGTGTGTGTTACCCTGCGGTGAAAAACATACCTTTTTAGCGTCGAAGCTGAGGCCCCAGTTGTTATATTGAATATTCACAGACATCAGCTGGGTTGGTTCATTCTCATGGCTCATCGGCATCACGCTGTCAGGACCAGATGTCTGAAGAACTCCAGTGCGGCAGTACTGAGCTCACAAGCATCTCAAACACAGGCCTCTTGTGGGCCATATTACAGCCAAGCTGGGGACCTGACAGCCACACCTGATCTGCAGGCCCCGTCCTCCTGAGTGTGCAGGTGTGACAAAGGTGGCTGTGATGATTACAGATCCCGGCGTTTGATTGTTTAGAATAATGTCTCTGTGCTGTGTGCCTTAGCGACACGCAAAGCCGCCCCACGCCCTGCTCCAAGGAGTTCACATTCTAACTACAGACATCACACAAGTGGGAACATCAGGTGTTGCTGAGTTATAATTGAAAGGTCTCATGGTCCTTTGGCTTGTCATGCGCCTGTCTCAGTGGTGGCCCAACATACAGTATGTACATGCTGAATATCATACATGGGGCCTAAGTCTCTTCTCTCTCCCTGATATTTGGAAGTAACTCAGTCAAAGTCAGTGAGTTGCACTTGCATAAAACTGGTGTAGTGTAAGAGACAGGAGATTCAGGCCCCTAGGTTTTAATTTTCTCCTCTTAGCCTGTTTGCACCTGTAATATTCCTGCCCAGCGCTCTCACTTCACCTTAAAATAATTCTCTGCCTTTATTACTAATTCTTTCTCCCCAGCTCCTGCTCCCCCCCCCCTTAACAGTCAATATCCTTCCTTCCATCCATTCATTTTGTGGCTAAACTCACTAAATTCCCCTCCCACATCAAAGTACTCATTGATCCATAACTACCCTTCCTCCTCTGCCATTGAATCCCCCAGGCCTCTTGCACTTGGCAAGACCCAGTTTCTCTCCAGTGTTCTCTGCATGTCTCCTCCTGACAATCACCAGTTCTTTCTGGGCTAATGGGTAGCTCACTCACCTGGTAGGGGTCAGTAAGAATGTCTCTGTCCCCACCTGGAGGTCTGGCTTCACCCACAATGCAATGCAGCTTGGTCACTCAGGTCAAGAGGGAGGAGCACATGCTGGGACATGTACCTCCACAAGAAGAACTTCTGCATTAAAGATGAGGGCAGCTGTAGACCACATTGTAAAGCCCCTTTTGCTTTTAACCTATGGATCTCACTTTCCCTGCTCTCGGTTTAACAGCAGCTGGCACCGACTCAGAACTATCTTAATGACATTGTTTTAAACTCTCCTCCTTATTCAGTGAATCAGAGAACATTAACAGCCGATCTCAACGACCTTCACATCACCATCAGTGAAATAGAGACTGCCTGCCACAGCATGCCAGCTGCTGAGGAGGACAAATTTGCTATTGTGATGAATGTATCCTTCCATAAAACACAAACATCGCTATGTGCTTTCTTTATCCTGGTGTTTGTTAAGCGTTCTGGCCATCTAGTAAGGAGGCACCATTTGGTGAAGAGCATAGTATGGACTCCACCCTTATGACCCAGAGGTGAGAGGGCTCCCAATGGAGCTGCCAGTGTTCATGCCTTTGCAGAGTTATCATGGGGGAAGCCACCCCCCTGTGGGCAGAAGGCTCTTGGTGGTGTCTCTCCCTGTGTTGTAGGAGATGGATGCAGAGATGTTGCCTTTGCAAAACAAACTCCCTTTTGTGTGTGGGTTTCTTTTTAACTAGCTTATCAGCCCACAGTTGCTGTGCTGACATTGCAGCTGTAGATGAAAACCCACCCCTTTATAAGCAGCATCTGTTCAGGATCTTGCCACAGTATGGTGTAGTTTTCCCTTAAACCACTCCTCTCAGTCTTTCCTGGAGAGCGCCCATCCCACTATAAAATCTCTGGATGGCCTGCAGCATAAGGCCATGGAGGAATTCAGCAAAGTCCTGTCCTTTTTTGGGGAAGACTCCAAAGTGACCACATCTGAATCTTTTTTTGGCATTTTTGCTGAGTTCATGAGCAAGTTTGAGGTGAGTTGCGTTGCTATGAAGCCAGCAGACATGGGTGGGGCCTCACCGTAAAGGCCCGGGATGGGTTTTGCTGCATCACCTGCTAGTGGGGCTTAGTTTAGCTTTAACTCAATATCTGGCTCTGAATGTGAGTAAAATCCAAATCTGTAAAGAAAAGCAAGTCAGGAATTGGCTGGCTCAGGAGACTTGGCGGATACTTCAGAGCCGTTCAGCTCTAGGTCACCAGGTCGAATACTGACCAGATGGAAAGTGAAGCAATTGCTGTTACCATCTGATGGGCTGTTGTGAAGGGCACTGATCTCGGGCTTGAGTCTAAGCATAGGGACAGCGAGTTCCACAACAGACTTGGCATTAACTGGCACTCCTTGCCAATGGGCCCAGCAGAAGGCTAAGGATGGAAAGGGTGCAGAGACAGAGGTATCCTTGCAGACAATCCTCCCAAGACAGTCCTGAAGCACTCCCGCAGGAAACCTGCCTTTGCACAGTGCATGCTGTACTAGTTCTGTGGAAGAAGAGAGGACTGCAGTCTCAGAGGCTCAGTGCAGTCCCCTGCACCTGTACTAAACTTGCTGTAGAAGAGGAAAGTTGGGCATAGGTCTGATCCTCTCTCTGCTTGGCACCATCCCTGCAACCGGATTTACTGCCCTCAGCCACTCATGCTCACCACTCGTTGGCTTGGGTAGAATGTGCATGGAGCAGTTTGAGGGCAGAGCTCAATCCTGCGTGTTTCTGCGAGTCTGAAGCATTCTCCTTGTCCCTGGAGAGCTGGCTTTGCCTGATGGCATGTCTCGTTTTGTTTCCTTCTCTCCCTGCAGCGGGCGCTCAGTGACGTGCAGGCCTGCGAAAGCCAGCGCAGTCCCAGGATGACCTCGCCCCTCGCCTGGTGATGGGCTTGTGATGACATTCGGTGCAACACTTTATTGCCAACAAAGTGCAATTGGTTCCTGTTGGTTGTAAATATGCTGCTGTCATGTTAGCACCAATCAGAACCATGGACCAAGGCAAAAGGGCTTGTTTGGTGGTAATATGGACACTGTAGGAATAACTTCTGTGACAAGGCACCATGGATGGGTCCTGGGATGGATGTGGGGGGCGGGGAGACAGGGTTACAGAGTTAAGACAAACACTGTGTTAGTCCTAACTACAGGATCTTACGTTTAGTGCCCTAGATTTCCAGTGTATTGTTGAATCAGGTTTGCAGACACACCGGGATGTAGAAACCCCCTTACATTTTTCAGAATCTGTATATGTCGGCAGTAGTAAACCCTGGGATCCCTGCCCAGGACTCTGTTGTGGGTGCACAAAGAGTTGGCTTCTCCCCACGTAACAAGGGCTCAGCACTCTCCCACCATGGGACACAGGCACTGCTCCCAAGGAGTCCGAGGGAGAGCAGGGCCAGGGCCTGCCCCCTACCCAGTGAGCAAAAGCTGCTTGGGCACAGAAGGCAGCACATGCCAAACCCCTTGAATTGGTGATGGAGCTGCCACTGGAGAGTGCTCTCCAGGGAACCTTGGGAGGAACCGCTGATGAATCAAGCTGAATTCCTCCTCAGAGTCCCTGCAGCGCTTTCGAACCCACCAGCCCGCACTTAATATTTCCACAGCTCTTACCCGGTCAGAACTCCCACTGACCCCGCACTGGTTGAGTCAGGGCACTTCAGGGTTTGGGCTCTAGCAGGGAAAGGTCAGTGCCAATGTCAGGAGATTACCTCCCAGAATTGTGCACGGTGTATCCATTTTGTCTCCAAACATGGATCCAATATGATTTCATCCAGTTGCATTATACAGTGGGACCATCCTGAAATTCCTTCCTGGCTGTGTCATATTTGCTTAGGTGTGTGGCAATGACTGATGGGTCTGGACAGTTTACTAGAAAATTAACATCTTCCTCACCAGATCTACATGGACTTGCCAGGAGACATAGTTCACTGAGCATCTTGAAGCCTCCGTAGAAAGTGTAAAACCCTTGGCAGTCTGAAAGTCTAGCAATCAGTGGGATTCCTTCAAGCAGCTAAAGCCCTGCAGTGTAGCTTCTGAGGCTAGCCAGAGAGCCCAGCAGAAAACCAAGTATGTGCTCTACCTTTCAATCATTTACTGAGGGCCTGTAGTTCTGTGGTAACATCTGACATAATGTAGGATTCAATCGATCCTTCATGCCAAGTGTATTCTGTGAACTGCAGAACTGCACACACCATGCTCCATTGCTCTGGTAGCCTCTGATTATTCTGTAGGTAAACGTAATTATATCTGAGATATCCTTCTGGGATTAATGCTCTACTAGACTTCTGTGGTCTGCATGTGCCTCCAGGTGATACAGCTTGCTAAGATCCTTACAGCAAGAAGCATCAGTGCGTTCACGTTGTTGGGCATTATTTTGTGCAAAAAGCAGTCATTGCCTTTCAACTCTGATGTGCTCTAACATCCTGCTCCTTGAAACACTCCAGCAACACCTGGAGCTTAGGTAACATTTCTCATCCAAATGCTTCTCCTCACGTGATGCCAGAGCAAGAGGTCCTCTCACAGCCTGTGCGGAGAGTAGAGAATCACCAACTGGTGCATTATTTACAGGAGACCTTATGTGCATCAAATCCTTTGTGTTCAGTACTTTTTAAAACTCCCCGCTGTAGAAAGTGATGTATATTTCCACAAGTGTTTTCAGTTTTTACAGCTTTAAGTGCCAGGTAGCTTCTAGCATTGTATTATCAGCTGCCCAAGCATTGCATTATCGGAGCTGTGTTTTTTCTTCTTGATTTATGATAGGACAATGCATATTTGTCTCCATTCTGTGTTTCAGATGCTGCATACTGTGTATAGTTGATCTTTTTTTAAGCACATATTATGTATTTAAACCGTTCGAGGTTATTTTGAAACTGTCATTAATGAAAATGCTGTACATAGACTTTGCTACCTGTTGTAACTTGACAAAATAGCTAAAACTCCAATCGCTTTGTTTCCAGATGGTATTTTTATGTGAAAATTTTCAGAGAACCAGAACTTCTGCGATATGGTTATTTTATTTGATAACAGGACTATGTGCATAGTCACAGTTCAGTCTCTACCCAAAACCTATGTGCTGTCCCCAAAATAAAGCTACTGCCGTCTGCCTCCCAACTGCATTTGAGTCCATTATAGGTAAAAACTATCACACACCCCGGTTTTCCACAATAGCCTTATAAAGAGGGTGTATTTCTGTGGTTGGCAGCTTTTATAACTGCACATCTTAAGACTGAATATTTTATATGGCCCGTCTTATTCCCTTGAGAGATCATTGCCCCAGTGAGGGAGAGGTTTAACTTGTTTAACCATCTCAATAGCAGCAGTAGAACAGAAGGGATAATTGCGTAATTATCTCTGCAGGAAGCTTCCTGTGGCTCCATAGTCAGAGAGTAGGGTGGGGAGTATTTCGGTTTGAAATAGTGCTGCCATTTTACATTGCTCAGCAGTAAATATTTACTGTGCGCATGAGCCAGAGAATTGCAGTCCTCTCAAAGGCAATTGGAGCAGGTGGAGCTCATGTTCCCTACGGGATTTCTCTCCTGTGGCAATTGCTTCATTTGCATTAGCAGGAAATAAACCAAGTGATTGATTTCCCAGATTTCCCATCACGGTGGCTGGTAGGCGCTGTGGCTTTTTGCTCTTTGCATGTATGTAATGGTTTAATCTGACAATGAGGCCTCAGCATAGGCCTAAAGGGTAGACTGAGTTTGAAAGAGTTTTACAAAATGCCCCAGATAAAATCCATTCACTGGGCAAGCCCTCAGTGCCACGTACATGTAAAATAAATGTACCTCCTTCCTAACTCTCTGAGCCCTGCACAACTGTTAGCTGAACAGACTGGCTCCTCCAGAACGTGAGTCGGACAGCTGAGCGGGTGCCCCAGCCTGCCTCACGCACACCTCCGGCATTCCAGCAGGCCATTCCGAGGCCGCGGCACTTTCTAGAAGAGCCCGCTCACCAGAGTTAAATACCGAGCAGCCCTTCCCAAAGTGCCCTTAATGAATGAGAACACATGCTGCTGAGTGCCATTGAATATGCTGACCTAAAGCCACCACTGCAGCTAGTATCTGACACAGTACCTCAGCGTAACTCTTAAGTCAAATGCTCTTGAGATCAGTTGATTCTTTGGTGATAACCTCGAACACTCTAGAAAAAAAAGTATCATTTGAGAGCTGCCCCTGCAGCGCTGCGCAGTTAATCATTAACAGTTTGTGCCTGGACTGCTTTGCGGCCCTGCGCCTCTTGTAAGGAAATCCGAAGTGGCTGAGGCACAAAGCAGTCAGTCTCCTGATCAGTGTCAGACACTGGCTCCTCCCCTGCCTGGCTCAGCTCTAGGATGTTGTCTCCCTCTTGCACCAAGAACAGAATCATCCCCAGCTAAGCTGAGGTTCGATTTCAGACCTTGGCCTGTGTTAGGTTTTCTCTGTTTCCTGCAGCAAAAGAGGAAACACTAGGAAAAAATGGAATAGCCTCAGTGGAGTCACAGCAGAGACGAGTGTGATTCAGTCAAGACCCAGTGGACAGAGTAGCTGGGATAAAATGACACCTGATCAGCATCTGTGCCAAAACCTGGACCAAACCTGAACCTCTTCTCTAGCTACCTTTAAAGGGATACAGAGTCCCTGCACTTCCTGGGGTCCCACGCACTGAGATAGGGGCTCAGATACCATGGCGGTGGATGCTGTGAAGGAAATTGAAGAGAAATCCCAGAGGAAATAACTGTACTCAAAGCATTTTCTGGCCCAGCTCCAACCTGGAAGAGCTGAAAATCAGCCTAGGTTCAGGTGCGTAGGTGCAAGAGTCTGGAAGCTGGCAGAAGGATCTGGCTGCTGAAGTCTGAACTTTCTGAGGATCTGCCTGTCACTGGTTACAGACATGATTCTATCAAATCACAGATATTGAATCCCAGGAAATCCAATTAAAATATTGCTAACTATGAGTCAGGGCCCTCAAAATCATGTGACGGGGGACAAAATCACAAGCTTTTTCTTTGTCTTCTGATTTCTGAGCCTTTGGGATTCACTCCAGTCACATTTCCAAGCCTTTCTTCACAACTGGGAGGGTGAGAACTTACCTTTTTATAAAAATGAAAGCTGAGATTCTCCTGCCGTCTCCTGGGTCCAGCTGAGGGGCTTTAAGAGAAAGATCAAATACGGCGAGACTTGCAGAGTTGGCAACACTGGTTCAATTAGCCAGTCAATGAACAAGTGAAACAAACAGAGGAGATGGGTTCTCTAGAGTCCTGTGAAGCTTTGTCAGATCTATCCCAGGTGGGAAGTGCTTTCCCACTCTTCAAGGCCACGCTGTGGGAAGCAGTGGGGATCCCAGGAGCTCTCATCCTCCCAGGCGATGATGGTCACCACAGTGTCAAAGTGGAACAGAGACCGTGCCAGCTAAAAGGCCAGTAAAACATAACCTCAGAGAATGGAAGATTTTAAAATCCTGACTTCAACCCACAGCCTCAGGAAGTGATCCTGCCTGGGCTAAGTACGTGAATGGGTTAATACTAGTGTTTTGAATAGCACTGGAAGCAGGGGGATATTTCTGAATCAAACATGTTCTCTGACATCATGTAGTGCCGTGGGACCTTCTGGCTGAGAACGGCATACACGGCAATGCTTGGGGCCTGCCTGGCCAGAGGCCAGCAATAGTATCTATTTCAGAGAGTTGTATAGCACCCCCTGCTGCAGCAGCTCAGTGCTTTGGAGAATTCAGGTCCCTCTTTAACATTTTTAATCCATGTATTATTTGACATTAGTGGTTTATTTATTTTAATATATTTTTGTCAGAGATGATGCCTAAGACAGAAGCCAAATCTAGATTCAGATTGGGATCCAGATGAGAAGTTAATATCCAGAGTTTGGATTTGTATTCTGAGCACTCACCCTGCCCCAAGATTGTGGGGTGAAGGGGAGATGGATTTCTCCCCCCCTGCTTTTTACAGATCTAAGGCTTAGCTGTGACTTTAGATACAGAGCTGAATTTCAGCTCCCCTTAGGGCTTGGGGAGTTCATCTTGGGAGGTTGGCAGAGCCCATTCCTCAGTGTAACTCATCTTCCTTTTAGCTGGAACGATTGCTTAAGAGAGCCGTACACTTTGGAGTTTGACCCCTGATAGTGAGAATGGCACAGACTTCACACCAGCGGAGAGAGGGACTGAAACCGTAACTAGGGCGAATTAGTTTAACTATCCCCCTTACACATTTTTCTTCTCATTCCTTGTGAAACTGTTAACAGCTTCACTGGCAATTCCTGGTTCCCTGGCAATATTTAAGGTGCCCTGTGGGCTGGCAGGCGGTTGGTCGGTGGTGCCTAGTGCAAGTGAACAGAATGGGACCCAGCTGAACATGGTAAGTTCCTTTTCAGTGTCTTGCTTGAGTCTGGGATGGTCGCAGTTAGTAGGTGGGTTCAGTTCTGGTTGTGGACTCAGTTTTATCCCTTCCACGTCTGTAGGGTTTTTAGCAGGTGAAAGGAATTAGGAATGTTTAAAAATCCTATTTAAGAAGCAACAGAAGTGATACAATCCCAGTGGGTTACGAGACACCCACATAGGCTGCCCTCTCTCCCAGGCCATCGATAAAGGGTTGGCTTCAACCGATTCATTTCAATGCCACAGATGTTCTTTGCTCACAATCCCTGACTTGCGAAGCACTGCAGCTCATGCCAAGGGAACTACGGGAGACTCGGTTGTGATCTGAATTAGCAAAACAGTCAAACTTTCCACTAGCTCAAGGCGCACATAGAATTTGAAATCAGATGCATCAGAGTTTACTAACCTTCTCCCTGCCCCCAGGCAGGCTGTCCTACGGGGGATCCTATGGAAAGACCAGTAAGCAAATACCTACCACAGGATCTAAATTCCCCTTGGAGTATATATACTATCTTCACTTCCTTTCTTTACTGTTGTGAAGTACCACTGCAGTGTTGGCTGTGTGCTACAAACAGCTGCATTTGGGGGTGAAGCAACTCCTGTACAAAAAGCCATAATTCCTGCATCGTGCTAAGCATGTGCAGCTGTGGGTGCTCGGCATCACTTGGGATTTCGGCCATTCTGTGGTAAATGCTTTACGTGAAAGGGGCTATAGACATGTCAGACAGAAGTAGCAGTAAGTAGGATGTGTTAAAACGCTGGCGATTGAAAGCAGGTAATAGACCATCGCTCCCTTGGGAGTGGTGCTCACCCTTCAACTCTCCTCCAGCTGCATGAACCAAATGTGGCTACTCCTGAAGCAGGATAGGCCGGAGGACTGAGCCCAACAAGGGGCACTGGCTAGAGCCGGCACCTTTGAATATTTGGCTAACGGGATGAAACCACTCCATTGTGCTGTCATGGGACACTGTATTGCGGTGCCGCTGCAACATTGCCCCAGTGTGTGAGGATGTTGGACAAGCTGTGGAGAATCCACACGCTTCTCTGGGTTCTTTCACTCATCCAGGCATGAGAGACTAGCCACGCCAGAGACAGGCATGGCTGGGGACAATTCCAAGCAATTCTTTAGGGAGAAGGTAATGCTTGGGACTGGTAGTTGCTGACTGGAGAGGCTGCTTTGTTTCCTTGTACCGGTAAGTGGGCGAGGCCAGTGGCCGTGGTGAAACTGACACCCACGGACAAGGAGCTCTTTTGGCTCTCACCTCCTCAGGGCTTTCTGAGGCAGAACTCGTTTGTCTGCTCCTCACTTCCACAGCACCAGGCAATAAGAGCCTCTTTGTCAGAGGAGCTGAGCGCTGGGCCAGAGCACACGCTCCGGGGCCTTTTGGGTGAGACAGCCCACCTCTCCCGCTGGGGGCGTCGGTTTTTCCCCACACCCAGGCGGCATCGTACGGTGCCCCATTTTGGGCACAAGAGGCCAAAGGCTCCAGCCTGCGAGTGACGAGGGAGCGAGGGGCAGCAAAGGCGGGATCTGGCCATCCTGGAAAGGACCGCCCTGCAGTCCAGCTTCCTGACCCGTTCGAAGGGCGCAGAGCGAGCCCCGAAGAAGGGACGCTCTGTCCCCATTCAGAGAACCAGCTGCGGGGAAAGGAAAGGTAAATCACTAGGGAGCTGGGCAGTGATGCGCTGGTGGGGGGTCCTGGGGGCTCCTGGGAAACCCTTGTTAAAGCCCCACCATCAAA